TGTAATGTTTGTTCTCTTGTTTATCTTCCTCCTCCCTCCTCCTCCCTCCCCCCCTCCTCCTCCCTCCTCCCCTCCCCCCCTCCCCTACCCCCTCGCCGTGTCAGTGACCTTTAATAATCACTGTACATTTGAGGTGGTGGTGAGGAGTTAGTGGTGGTGGAGTTGAGGTGGTGGTGGGGGTTGAGGAGGTGGTGGGATTGGTGGTGGTGGGAGTTGAGGTGGTGGTGAGGTTGAGGTGGTGGGGGAGTTGAGGTGGTGGTGGGAGTTGAGGTGGTGGTGGGGAGTTGAGGTGGTGGTGGGGAGTTGAGGTGGTGGTGGGGAGTTGAGGAGGTGGTGTGGGGAGTTGAGGTGGTGGTGGGGAGTTGAGGTGGTGGTGGGAGTTGAGGTGGTGGTGGGGGTTGAGTAGGTGGGAGTTGGGGGTGGTGGTGGGGGAGTTGGGGTGGTGGTGGGGTTGAGGTGGTGGTGGGAGTTGAGGGTGGTGGGAGTTGAGGTGGTGGTGGGGAGTTGAGGTGGTGGTGGGAGTTGAGGTGGTGGTGGGGAGTTGGGTGATGGTGGGGAGTTGAGGTGGTGTGGGGAGTTGAGGAGGTGGTGGGGAGTTGAGTGGTGGTGGGGAGTTGAGGAGGTGGTGGGGAGTTGAGGATTTATATGTTGGAGACAGACAGACAGACAGACAGACAGACAGACAGACAGACAGACAGACAGCACTAGTTCTTATCACCGTTAGGCAGCACTTGGTAGTATTTAAGGTCAGTGCGTGTTATTTCAATCACATTTTGTTGCGTGACTGGTGAGAGATGTCTGGAGAGTCTTAGGGGGTAGTAGAGTACAGGATTGGCTGTTTGGTTATAGTCACTCCTCACACACACTCAACACACACACAAAACACAAAAACACGATAAAACACAAAAAACACGCCTTGTAAACATTTAACCTCGGTGTTTTTATAAATCTGTCCATTAATTTGTTTTGCTGAGCGCCAAGATTTACCTGGTTCACCTCCGTGTGTTGGTGCCGAGTTATGCGGAGTGGTGGTGCCGAGTTATGGGTGTTGGTGCTTATGCGGGTGTTAGTGCCGGTATGCGGGTGGTGGTGCCGAGTTATGCAGTGGTGGTGCCGAGTTATGCGGGTGTTGGTGCCGAGTTATGCGGGTGTTGGTGCCAGTTATGCAGGTGTTGGTGCCGAGTTATGCGGGTGGTGGTGCCGAGTTATGCGGGTGTTGGCTGAGTTATGCAGGTGGTGGTGCCGAGATGCGGGTGTTGGTGCGAGTTATGGGTGGTGCTTGATTATGCGGTGTTGGTGCCGAGTTATGTGGTGCCGATTGTATACGGGTGTTGGTGCCGGAGTTATGCGTGTAAAATTTTCGAGAAGGCTGATGATACTACGCACAAGTCGATAGTAGATGGACTAATGCAAGGACATAAGGTGGGGGAGGGAGGAGAGGGTAGGGGGTGTGATGGGAGGAGGGTAGGGAGAGGAGGAGAAATGTTGTTGGAAATGATGGAGCGAAAGATGGAGAGGAAGGAGGAGTTAGAAAAGTGGGAGGAAGATGAAGGGAGGGAGGGATGGAAGAGGAAGGAATGGAAGAAAGGGAGGAGGATGGAAGGAAGGAATGGGAGGGAGAAAAGGGAGGAGGATGATACAGGAGAGAAGTGGAACGGAGGGATAAAAGAAAGGAAAGGGCAATGGAGGGAGGGAGGGAGGGAAGGAGGGAATGGAATAGAATAAGAGGAGAAACATCGAATAGTGGAACAGGTCGCTAGCTTTTCAGAATATAGGGACTCAACACGAGGATCATTTTCACTCTCTTCATCATTATTATGATTGCCATTACACACGGCCAGTAACCATTTTGTTAAAAGCAATTACAACGTTGATTTATGATGGATAATATTAGTCACTGATAGATTATGGGGCCGGAAACTTGATGTTTGGTTAAGGAAAAAGAGATTCATTTTCCTCCACCTATGAGATTGAAAACCCTGGGAAAATAAATGGGTTTTTTTTTTGAGGATATTTTTCACTTTATTTGGTTAATTTTTAAAGGGTTTTTATTGGTTTTATTATTATTAATGTTATTATTGTTGTTATTGTATTTCAGGTGATATACAATTTAAGTTTATTATAGAAAGTAAATTTATCAAAATTTATGAAATTTATTGACTTTTCGTGTATTAAAAGTTTATTGTATCGACACCTGTTAAGACTCACCTGTCGCCTCGGTCAGGAATTATGTTAAAACTTGGATTACTTCTATTGCTCTGGTAATGACACACACACACACACACACACACACATTCAGGTGTTGTTATTCATATTTTAAGCTCAAGTTATATCAGGTTACCTTATGGCTCTCACCTTCTCACTGATTAAAAAAAAAATATTGATAATTTACATAGGAATATTCATAAAGCCGTTAGGTTAGGTTAGGAATGTGGTTTCTTATACTAATTATAGGGAGTTGATGATGATTATATAACGTTTTATAATTATACATGGTTCAGTATCTATGATAATAACTTTTAGCACCTATAATTATACTCAGCGCCTATAATTATACCTGCCTCCATTCATAATTATACCTCATTCGACTTATAACTATACTCAGCGGCTATAATTATACCTGCCTCAGCACCGCCAATCACCTGAGTGAATTTTCTCATTAGAGTTAACGAAAACAACGAAGCGGGTGATTAATGGGTTCCTAAATAGCCAACTACCTATAGCCTTAACGAGTCATTTGTCAAGGTGTTCGACGGGGAGGTGAGGGAAGGGGAGGTGAGGGAAGGGATGAGGGAAGCAGGGAGAAGTGGGGGTGAAGAGGAGGAGGAGGAGGTGAGGATTAAGAGGAGGTAAGGGAGGGAAGTAGGAGGAGGAGGAGGAGACAGAGGGTAGGGGTGAGAGAGGAGGAGGAGGCAGATGAGAGGAGGAGTGGTAAGGAATAAGAATGGGGAAGAGATGGATGAGGAATAAAAGAGAAGGGAAGAAGAGGCATTAGGAAGAAGAAGAGAGAGAGAATTATTTGTTTGTCCTGGTTGTTCATTCCTCACGAGGCAACAGGAGTCGCAGTATTCATTCTGACATCCATCGGTCCTTCCGTCGCCGTTACTACTTTTACTGCCACTCGGAACCAAGTATGACGATCATCCAACTATGATACAATGATATGAGTTATTAGGATGTCACCTAGGTTGGTGAGTTTTGAGGTGACCAAAGAGGCCGATACGGGACGCAGGGTCGTCCACAGATGTTGCACGTGTGGAGGGCTACAACTAGTGCGGAGGGCGGCGGCAGCGTCTTTGCGGCGTTGGCGCTTGTCTGCCCTGGTATGCAGTCTGGCTAACTCTCGAAAGTATTGACACCTTCTCGTGTGGTGCTCCTCCAAGCGTTACGGTGTGGAGTAATCGTCTCCCAGGTGAGGGGGCTGATGGCAGTTCAGGTTTGTCTTAAGACTATCCATACCTCTTCAGTTGCCCGCCGGCGTTACGTTTACTTCGTTAGGTATCAAAGTAGCTGCTCTGGCAGTCTACTGTAGTCCATGCGGGTAACATGGCCAGTCCAACGTAGTTGTTCATGGATAATGGTAGCCCCGATGTCCTACAGTTGGTGTCAGTGAGAATACTGGCATTTGTTCTCTTGTCTTCCCAGGAACTCGGAGGATGGAAACGTAGACTACGTTGGTGAAAAGACACACCCCCACACACACACCACCTCCCCACACTCCACCTCCCACACACACACCCACCACCTCCCACACACCACCTCCCACACACCTCCACCACACACCCCACCACTCACCCCCACACGCATCTCACAACACAAGAAATATAAAAAAAGAGTCAAAGAACTATATTACCAGACAGGAATATGAAGGAGATAGAATAAATGACCCGCTTAAGTTATACCGTGAGGCGCCGTGTTGGGGGAAGCACTGCTCAGTATTGATGCTAGAAGATGGTGCACTGTGCATCTAAATGAAGCGCTTTGACCAATGTATTTAGATCATGTGTCCCGTGTGCATAGTGTGGCTCTACCTGGCGAGAGAGAGAGAGAGAGAGAGAGAGAGAGTGAGTGAGTCTGGCTATCTCACTGTCCATCTCGCTATATTTAAAGATAGAATAATATCTTGCTATATGTAAAGGCTGAATGATCTCCTTTTCATCGATAAAAATAATGTCTTTTGAGGTTTGAACTAATTTTTTGTCTTGCCTCATGTTCTATCTCTTGCTTCACTTTCCTCCTATCTTGCTTCATGTCATCCTGTTCTGCTTCGTCTTCTTCCTATCTTGCTTCACGTTTCTCCTCTCTTGCTTCATGTCATCCCTGTCTTGCTTCACTGTCTTGCTTCATGTCCTCAGATCCTACCTACCTTGCTTCACTTTCTACCTCTTGCTTCACTTTCCTCCTTTCTTGCTTCATGTTCTATCTCTTGCTTCACTCTCCTCCTATCTCGCTTCATGTTTTACCTCTTGCTTCACCTTCCTCCTATCTTCATTCATGCCCTCCCTATCTTGCTTCACGTTCCACCTCTCTTGCTTCATGGAATCTGACCAAGAGATGTTATCAATACATTCGCTGGCATCATTTATCTATCTCCTCATCCTCCTCCTTTCTTCCTTCTCCTCTCTTGTTTCTCCACACTCAACCGCTGTGTTGACGCGTGCAGTTATCGTGAGGCGGCCTTGATGTGAGTTGCTCCCATGTCGGTGGGTTTTAAATAGCTGGACTTTTATTTGATTTTTGGGTTTTGTTTTTAGTTTTCTTTTCTTTTATGGTTCGTGAGCGAGGTTGGGGTTGGTTGGGGTTGGTTGGGAGAGACAAGAACGCTGATAGTACGTTCACCAACAGCTTGAGACTCGCCAACAGCTTGAGACTGCCAACAGTTTGAGACTCACCAACAGTTTGAGACTCACCAACAGTTTGAGATCAACAGTTTGAGACTCACCAACAGTTTGAGACTCGCCAACAGCTTGACTCGCCAACAATTTGAGACTCGCCAACAGCTTGAAACTCGCCAACAGTTTGAGACTCACCAACAGCTTAGGACCTGCCAACAGCTTGAGACTCCGCCAACAGCTTGAGACTCGCCAACAGCTTGAGACTCGCCAACAGTTTGAGACTCGCCAACAGCTTGAGACTCGCCAACAGCTTGAGACTCGCCAACAGTTTGAGACTCGCCAGCAGTTTGAGACTGCCAACAGCTTGAGACCTCGCCAACAGCTTGAGACTCGCCAACAGCTTGAGATCTCGCCAACACTCGCCAAAGCCCCAAGGATGGGCGGGTTTAGGAGT